AATAGTAAACAACCCCACGCTCATCATTAAGCACGTGTCTCACCTCAATATAGCACTACGGTGTGAAAATCCGGGATTTCAAACCCTTAGGACATCATTTACATTCATTACTCACCTCGAACCGGCAAAAGCTCTAGCTCGCAACGCCTTTGCCTCTCAAATCAGCCTCCTCGCGCATCGAATCTGACCAAAACTAGAACGAATACATCACAATATGCTAAGGGAACATAACCCAAGTGAAAACAATCGAAAAATATCAAAACTCTCTAAATTAGCAAAACCCAAGCCCCGGGCCCACTTCTCGAAACTCAAAAATTTTCACATCAGTAGATTCCTTATCTCCCCACAAGTTCATACATATCAAAAACACCAGAATCGGAGTTCAATTGACCCCTAAAATCCTTAATTTAAGCTCTCTTAAACTCAAGCCCTAAACCTCCATTTTAGTCCATCAATTCCTTAAATTTCAGTCATAATTCATGAAATACCACTATAGAAGTGTGTTTTAGGTCCAAGAATCCTTACCTTATCGAAGCTCCTTGAAACCCCTCTTCAAAATCGCCCACAATTCTCCAAGCCCGAAGTAAAAAATGGCAAACTCTACAAAATTCGCGAAGGAGAACTTAAATGCCTTCTGCCCAGTCATAACTGCTTCTGCGGTCAAAAACCGCTTCTACGGTACCGTTTCTGTGGTCCTACCCCTGCTTCTGCAGAATTCTTTAAGTCTAGCCTGACCGCATCTGCGGTTCCGCAGGTGCACTCCCCTATCCGCATCTGCGATCCCAGCCTTTGCCTTGCCTTTCCGCTTCTGTGACCTCCAGCCCGCATATGTGACACCGCACCTGTGGCTTCCAAACCGCAGGTGTGAAAATACCAGAACAGCAACAATCTGCAACATCACAAGTCCAGATTATTCCCGCTTAGCCATCCGAAATCACTCTGAGGCCCCCGGGACCTCAACCAAAAGCACCAACACCTCCTAAAACATCATCCAAACTCGTTCCAATCACCACAACACCTCAAACAACACCAAAACCATCGAATTACATCGAGTTCAAGCCTAAGTTCTTCTAAAACTTCCGAAACACACATTTGATCAAAAAACCCAACCAAATCACCTCCGAATGACCTAAAATTTTGCACACACATCCCAAATCACCTAACGAAGCTACTGCAACTATTGAAATTCCATTCCAACCCTCGGATCAAAATCTCTCCTACCAACCGGAAATCGCCAAAATACTAACTTCGCCAATTCAAGCCTATTTCTACTCCGGACCTCCAAAACCACTTCCGATAACACTCCTAAGTCACAAATCATCCCCTGAAGCTAACTGAACCACCAGAAATCACATCCGAGCCCTCTAACGCATAAGTCAACATCCGGTTGACTTTTCCAAACTAGGCTTTCCTTAAAGAGACTAAGAGTCTCATTTCCTACCCAAAATAATCCAAATCAACTCGATCACACCAAATACAGAAAATGAAGCATAAAGCAGCAGAAAATGGGGAAAACGGAGCGGTAACTCATGAGATGACTGGTCGGGTTGTCACAAGAACTCAAAACATGCGTTTCGGTGTTTGGTTTGGAACTTTTGACGTTTACTTTCCCACTATAGAAAATTTTATTTTATTTTGATTGAATTAGGCTGATAAACCGCCCAATAACCGCCCGATAAAAGCTAAATCGATACCAATCTGCCTGATATCTTATCGGATGGCTAGTGGATTAATACATTTAAAAGTCGATAACCGATAAGCCAAACTGTTAAGAGTAAATAACCGCCCAATCCGCCCGATAAGAAAACCTACTTCCCTAAACCTACATTACGATATTAAAAAGTCCTTATGGGATATCCAACCGAGTGTTCTTAGAATTAAGCGACTGATTAAAATAAGGGCAAGCCTGTGGTATGGTATGTCGTAACACTTGAAACTCTTTCTGAGAGTGAGTGTATTTGTGAATTCGTCCCTTTTTGTTGTCATTATAAATATTGTGATTTTGGGACTTTCTTTCTAGTGAGGACACATGAACTATGAGGTTGGACAGAAGTTAAGCTTTTGGAATCAAATACAAGTGCACTCAGCTGAGGGTAACATTTTGTCAAATTGGTCGAGGCTCAAAGTTTCACAAGTTGATTAGTTCTTTATAAATATTGATGATTCAGGAAGGGTAAACAATTGAGAAATGCATGCTTGTAGTACTGACAAGGACACCGTCCACGGTCACTATTGTTTCATATTTGTTAGATGGAGTCTAGAATAGGATAGTGTCATTTTAGTTGCTTGAGGACAAGCAAGAGTCTAAGTTGGGGGTGTTGATGTGTCGGAGAATTTCGGCACATTTCAATGCAAATTTCTTAGATTTTAGCTTGTTTTGAATGCAATTATCTCCAATACTTATGTAATTTTAGTGTTTTTGCAGTACATGAGGTTTAAGGACCTAAGAGCATGGAAATGAAAGCAAAAGGCCACAAAAAGACAAGAAAAAGAGCAAAATGCAGCACAAATGTGGAAATGCGGTCCAAAATGCGATCGCAAATCCTACATGCGAACCACATAATGTGCAAAGGACCGCAAACCACAGCAGAATGTTGGCCAAAGTCCAGTGCAAGAAATGCGGTCCAAAATGCGATCGCATAACAGGTTTGCTAACCGCATAATGGACTGCAAACTCATGGAGAGAAATGCTGATGGTAGAAAATCCAACGCAAATTGCGATCGCATATCTGGAATGCGGACAGTAAATCAACAATGCGATGACGGCCTGAAAACTAGGGTTCTGAAATGCGTTGGGCATGAAGAGAATGCGGACCGCATGTCTGTTATGCGACAGGTATGCGGTCGCATATTTAACCTGAAAGGGCATTTTTGTCCTCTTTTTGGCCCTCTATAAATAGATTTATTGAGGTTTTGTGGGCTCATCTGGTCTGACTTTGAGACTACAATACAAGGCTTTAATATTCCTCTCTTTTGGAAGCTTTTGGGTCAAGAATCTTTCACTTTGTAAGCTTTATGGCATTTAATATTCTCTTATTTTTTGTATTTTAGTATGAGTAGCTAACTTTAAATACTAAGGCTGTGGACCCTAAATGGGTGTTATGTTAATGGGTGTTTAACATTGAATATATATATATATATATGATGGTTGGTTGATATTTATTTACTTCTCATTCTTCATTTATTGTTGGTGGTTGCAAACATCAACAAGTGCCATTAAATTCTTGCTTTGCTTGGAAAGTGGGTTAAAATTTCGTAGAAGTAAATATCAAAGACTCAAGGCTTTAAACCTTATTTAATAGAATCGCTTAGGAATAAATGAATTTTATTTGGCATATATTGATTGTTTTTAATTGCAACTCTTTTATATTTGGAAAAATCATAAAGAGGAAATACTATCCAACTATTGGAAAATATTGGGTAGTCATTTAGACATCATTTGCATATCAAAAAGGGACCTTCCATTTGAAATATATCATATTAACACCGATAGCATTACACTTCATTAATGGGGAGACAACCTTGGTTTCTCTAATCAAATTATTTACATTCTTAACATTACAATTAGTCATTACTTCAAATCAAAATCATTTCATACTCTTGTTACCATTAACTGAATAGAACTACGACTTGAGTCAAGTAACACGCTATTTGAGTAACCTTTTCACACCTATTCCCTGTGGAATTCGACCCCAAACTTGTTCGTTATTATATTTGACATCGACCTCCTTATACTATTTATTAAAGTGTAATTTGAGCGTATCAAATTTTGGCGCCGCTGCCGGGGAATACGGTTTTGAAATTACTAATTAGTGTGTGCTTTACTTTACGTCTTAGTCTATTCCATCACACTTTGCTTGTTTTGCTTGGTGTTAATAGGAAAACAGGGCCGAATATGAAGAACAAATGGAGGTGGAAATGGAAGAAAATCCTTTTGCGGACATAGAGAAGTATATTGAGGATACAAATGCTATTGTACCTCCGGCCGTTGGCGCTGCAACTTTCAAGGTGGAACATGGTCTAATCCATATTCTCAAAGCGGAGGGGTTTTTCAGAAATTCCACCGATGATGATCTGACACAACATCTTAGAAACTTCTTGGGTGTGTGTGCGATGTATAAGCTGAACAATGTCTCGGATGATGCTCTAAGGTTGAGGTGCTTCAAGTACTCACTAGCTGGGGACGCAAGGAAATGACTTCAGAATTTGCCATCAAACTCTATTCATTCTTGGCCCGAACTTGTCCGAGCATTCTTAGCTAAATAGTTCCCGCAAAGTAAGAAATCTGAGCTCCGGGATAAAATCTTCTTTTTCAAGCAAGTACCGGGGGAACAACTACACGAGGCATGAGATCGATTCAAATTATATTTGGTGAGGTCTCCCAATCATGATTTTTCGGATTCTATCTTGTTGGAAAAATTCTACATGGGCTTGGATCCGATGAACCAATCTATAGCTAAGGATACAGCTGACGGATCTTTCATGGACAAATCATTCCCAAGGGTGACACAAATACACGACGAAATGGCAAAGCATAATCAGGCATGGCATTCTGAGGACACCACAAGTGGAATTACATATGGTTCTCCTTCCTTGAGCAACATGATCAAGGAAAATCAAGAGAGAGATCAAGTGATTGCATACTTACTACAAATGTCAATGTGTTGACAAAGATGTTCACCGAAAGCCAAACAAAGAAGGTAAATGTGGTTGAGGATGTGCAACCCATATCAAATGAGGATTTTGAGGAAGCAAACTATGTCAACAACTCCCAAGATGGATATCAAAGGCAATATTACCGAGGTCAAGGACAACAGAATCAATGGAGGCCTCACCTGCAAGGGCAAGGCAACCAATAGTGGATAAATGACCAAGTCGGATCAAATCAAGGTATTTGGAACAACAACAACAACTTCCCAAATCAGAGTTCAAACCCTTATCTTCCCCCAAAGGGTCAATATTCACATCAAGGTTCCTCAAGTGAGTCTAAGTTGGAAAGCATGCTTGAACGTGTGTTGCAAAATCAAGAGAAGTCTGACACTTCTATGAGGAATATAACCGAGATTGTTGATTCTCATACCGCATCCATACAAAAATTAGAGATGCAAATGAGAGATATTTCTAGGGAGCAAAATCCAAAGCAAAAAGGGACACTTCCAAGTGACACAATTGCGAACCCCAAGGGTAGAGGGAGTGGTCTAACTTCTCATGTCATGGCGATTACTACTCGAAGTGGGAAGGTACTACAAGGAGGGGGTGAACAAGTGGTTGAAGTAAAAGAGTCCGAACAAGGGGTTGAGGTTGAAGAGCCAAGTGTTGTTGAAATTGAGAAGATTCCGGAAGATGTGCAAGTGCAAAAAGAGAATCGGGAAGGGGTAAAGGAAAAGGTAAAAGAGACACCAAAAACTCTTCCACCTATTCCTAGACCTCTTCCTCCATTCCCTCAAAGACTCACTAAGAAGGCTGATGATAGCAAACTCGAAAAGTTCTACGACATTCTCAAGCAATTATCAGTGAATATTCCATTTGTGGAAGCATTTCAAGAGATGTCGGGTTTTGCTAAGTATTTGAAAGATTTGATCACCAAGAAGAAAACCACCAAAAATGATGTGGTGAATGTGACTCACCGGATTAGCTCTATCATTGCAACATCCACCGTTCAAAAGAAAGAAGACCCGGGAGCTTTCACCATTCCTTGTACCATTGGGGTACATGATTTTGCAAGAGCGCTTTGCGATAATGGAGCTAGCATCAACTTGATGCCTCTTTCCATTTACAAGAAAGCAGGATTAGGTATGCGAAGGCCCACAAGTATGAGATTGCAAATGGTCGATCGTTCCATCAAACGATCGGTGAGAATTGTTGATAATGTACTTGTGAAGGTGGGAAAATTTCATTTACCCGCCGACTTCGTAATCCTTGATTGTGCAGTTGACAAAGAGATTCCTATCATCTTGGGGAGACCATTCCTTGCCACGGGAAGAGCACTAATGGATTCGGAACGGAATGAGATCAGATTCCGTGTGAATGATGAAGAGGTTACATTCCAAGCAAGCAAGGGTATGAAACTACCGCATGAGTATGAAATCATCTCGGTGATCGATGTTGTTGATAAAGTAGAGGATACGGTTGAAATGAAAATGGAATAAAAATGCCTCGGTGAGGCATTGGCGACTATTTTGGTGAACTTTGATGGTGAAGATATGGAGGGGTATATGGAATCAGTAAATGCATTGGAGGGGCTTGGGTCCTACACTTATGCTTCGGTAAAGATCTCTATCGACTTGGAGAATAGGGCCACTCCACCCACAAAGCCTTCTATTATCGAACCACCGCAACTAGAGCTCAAACCACTTCCACCACACTTGAGGTATAAATTTCTTGGATCAAATGATACTTTAACGATAATTGTTTCTTCTTTGTTGAATGATGTGCGGGTAGAAAAATTGTTGGAAGTCTTCAAGGAGCATAGGCAAGCGATTGGATGGACAATTGCAGACATCCGAGGGATTCCCGCAGGAATTTGCAAGCACAAAATCGAATTGGAGAGTGAGACGAAACCAAGTGTGGAACATCAACGACGGTTGAACCCGTCAATGCAAGAGGTGGTAAAGAAAGAAATTATCAAATGGTTGGGTGTTGGGGTAGTCTACCCTATTGCCGATAGTTCTTGGGTGAGCCCGGTGCAATGTGTGCCAAAAAAGGGAGGCATAACCGTAATTGAAAATGAAAAAAATGAGCTCATCCCAACAAGAACGGTGACCGATTGGAGGGTGTGTATGGATTATCGGAAGCTCAATAGTGCCACATGCAAAGACCATTTCCCTATGCCTTTTATTGATCAAATATTTGATCGGCTAGCGGGAAGGCCATTCTATTGTTTCCTTGATGGATATTCCGGCTACAACCAAATCAACATAGCCTTGAAGGATCAAGAGAAAATGACATTCACTTGCCCTTATGGAACTTTCGCCTTTAGCCGGATGCCATTTGGTTTGTGCAATGCTCCGGCTACTTTTCAAAGATGCATGATGTCCATTTTCTCCGACATGGTGAAGGATTTCCTAGAAGTCTTTATGGAAGACTTCTCGGTGGTAGGTAATTCTCTTGAGCATTGTCTTAACAATCTTAGACAAGTGCTTAAGAGATGTGAAGAGACCAACCTTGTGCTCAATTGGGAGAAATGTCACTTCATGGTGGATGAAGGTATTGTGTTGGGGCATAAAATTTCAAAGCGTGGCATAGAGGTTGACCGGGCAAAAATCGAGATTATTTCTAAGCTTCCTCCACCTACTTCAGTTAAAGGTGTTCGAAGTTTCTTGGGACATGCCAGGTTCTATAGGTGCTTCATCAAGGATTTCTCCAAGATTGCAAATCCTATGTGCAAACTCCTTGAGAAGGATGCCAAATTTGTGTTTGATGAGAAATACCTCAAAGCCTTTGAGGAATTAAAGCAAAGGCTCACCACGGCACCTATTATTGTCACACCCGATTGGTCTCTTCGTTTCGAGCTCATGTGTGACGCCAGTGGTGTAGCTATTGAAGCAATGCTTGGACAATGTCACAACAAGGTTCTCCACTCAGTCTATTATGCAAGCAAGACACTCAATGGGGCGCAAATGAATAACACGGTAACTGAGCAAGAACTTCTTGCCATTGTCTATGCCTTTTAGAAGTTCCAGGCTTATTTGTTGGGATCAAAGGTGATAGTGTACCCAAATCATGCTGCTATTCGCTATCTCATGGCAAAGAAGGATGCAAAGCCTCGGTTGATTCGATGGGTCTTGTTGTTTCAAGAATTTGACTTCGAGGTTAAGGATCGCAAGGGAACTTAAAATCAAGTAGCGGATCATTTATCAAGGCTTGAAGAGGTAGGGAGACCAAAGGGAGATCTTGAAATCAATATGCATTCTCAGATGAACTCATATTGGAACTATCTAGCACTTTTGCTCCTTGGTTTGCCGATATTGCTAATTATTTGGTTAGTGACCTTATTCCGGACGGATTGGAATCCTATCAAAAGAAGAAGTTCTTGAGAGACTGCCAACAATACTATTGGGAGGAACCATTCTTGTTCCGTGTTTGTGCTGACAATATTATCAGAAGGTGCATTCCAGAAGAAGAGATTATGCCAATTCTTAAGGCATGCCATGATTCACTGGTTGGGGGTCATCATGGAGGAAATCGAATGGCAGCCAAAGTGCTTGAATGTGGTTACTATTGGCCTTCAATCTATCATGATGCCAATAAAATGGTCAAGGCTTGTGACCAATGCCAAAGGCAAGGATCAATCTCCAAGAGGCATGAAATACCAATGCACTTTGTGATGGAGATAGAAATCTTCGATGTGTGGGGAATTGATTTTATTGGTTCCTTTGTAAGCTCTTGTGGGATGAAATATATCTTGGTAGATGTGGACTATGTGTCCAAATGGGTTGAAGCAATTGCCTTACCAAAAAACGAGGCAAGAAGTGTGACCACATTCTTAAAGAAAAACATATTCACTCAGTTTGCCACTCCTAGGGCCATTCTTAGTGATGGTGGATCTCATTTCTGTAACAAGGCTTTCACGGGACTACTAGAGAAGTATGGTGTCAAGCACAAGGTGGCCACACCTTATCATCCCCAATCTAGTGGTCAAGTTGAGGTTTCCAACTGGGAGATCAAGAGCATTCTAGCAAAAACTGTTAATGCAAATAGGACCGACTGGTTAAGGAAGCTAGATGACACATTGTGGGCGTACCGCATGGCATACAAAAATCCTATTGGTACTTCTCTTTATCGGTTAGTCTTTGGCAAAGCTTGTCATCTACTAGTGGAATTGGAGCACAAAGCCATGTGGGCTCTAAAGAGGTTGAACTTGGACTGGGCTGAAGCTGCAAATTTGAGGTTAACACAACTCAATGAAATGGAGGAATTCCATTTCCATGCTTATAAAAGTGCAGCTGTGTACAAAGAAAGTATGAAGTTCGTCCATGACAAGAAGATCTTGAAAAGAGAGTTCAAGTCGGGTGACTTGGTTTTGCTCTTTAACTCAAGGCTCAAATTGTTTCCGGGCAAGCTCAAATCAAAATGGTCCGGTCCATTCAAAGTGGTCAATGTCTCTCCTTTTGGAGTTGTGGAACTAGCATCGGAAGATGGGCTCCGGACATTCAAAGTCAATGGCCACCGAATCAAGCACTACTTGGGCACAGATGGAGAAAAATATTTGGTGGAACAGTTGGCTCTCCAAGATGGTCCATGCCCAACAAATGAGTGAAGCAAAAGAAACACCAACTTCGTCATGCCATGACGTTAAATCAAGTGTTTCATGGGAGGTAACCCATGTGTGGTAACACCCTTTTTGTTCTTTAAATTTTTAATTTTGTGGTAGACAGATTTAATTGAGCAATTTAAAGGGTGTATTAGAGTGCAGGGGATTCAAAAGATCATAACTCTGGGTAAGATTGCATAAGAAAGGGAAGAAAAATCACTGTGTGAAGTTTGCTACAAAAATGCGATCGCATTTTCACTATGCGGACCGCATTTTGGTCGCAAATCAAAACAATGAGTTTGGCTAATATTGGTGGTAAGAATGCGACAAGGTGGTGCACTTTGCGGACCACATTTCAACTATGCGATCACATAGTGCACCGCATTTCTAGCCCTTCATCATCTCACTTGAACCCACCGCATAACACTTTTGCAGTCGCATAGTGTATTATGCGGTGACTTATCCACCTCAAATCGTGCAGGTATCACCCTTGCATCTCTTCATTCAAAACAAACAAAAAGAAAGTTTTTTTTATTTTATCAGAAGCAAAACAAAGAAAAAAAACGAAACAAAAAAAACGAACGAAGAGAAAAGGAATAGAGAAGGCAAAATCAACTAGTGCGTGATCTAATACCCCAAGTGTGTGCTCATAAACAACGTCACTGGTATATTTTCCTTTTTCCAATTCCATTATTTCAAGCTTTGGTTGCACATTTGTTCCTATTCTTGTTCCCCCTATTGTTGCTTCATGTTTTCTTTTCTTTTGTGTTTTTCTTTCGTGCTTTGTAATTAGATACCTATTTGTAGTGTTCTCTTAGTAAATAATGTGTTTTGGGGGTGCTGGGTAGTGAAAATTAGGTCTGCCATTATTGAGGGTCAGTTCAATCGTTGGGAATGACGATATTTGCGGCTCACAAAATCAAAATGCGGTCCACATTTTTCCGCATAACTGAACCCTAGATTGGCTGAGGAAGATGATGAAATGCGGCGAGTATGCGATCGCATAATTGATATGCGGACCGAAAACTCATCGCATACTGACACAGTATACCCAGTTTCACAACATGATTTTTGCGGCCATTTTGCGATTGTATTTCCTAATTTGCGGTGGAATTTGCGATCGCATTTCATGATTTGGTTTTCTGAGCAATCAGGTTTGCGATGGTTATGCGGTCTGCATAGTAGTTATGCGACCGCATACCTGTCGCATTCTGAACTTCTTCTTTGTTTTTCATTGTTGCCTACTCAGTTGATCACATGGTATTTCTGTGCAAGTATGGCTCCCAAGAAACACACATCCTCTTCCAAGAAAAGGGCCTTCACCATTCATCAAGCAACACCATCAAAATGTCCACGACCGGATCCTACTGCGGCACGTCCCTCCCAGTCTGATGAGGAGGAGACCTTGCCTACAATAGACCTACAGGCAGAGGCGAGAAGAAAAAGGGGCGATGACTACCAACTCCACTTTGCAATTGATGGTTCTAGGGAACTCTATAGAGAAGGGCTAACAAAGAGAAAAATCCTTGCCGAGAAACAAGTGAGCATGAACGGACTTAAAGAGCAGCACCCCCACATTTGGGATAACATAAAAGCTAGAAAATGGGAGTGTTTCACTAAGCTACCGGATGACTGCAATGAGACCCTTGTCCGTGAGTTTTATGCCTCATACGGAGCTTCCAGGACTGCTCGCCATAAGCTCACCAGGATATTCTGTCATACTGTATTAGTTCGGGGGAAAGATGTGAGCTGAAGCGCTAAGACTATTAATAAATTTTACATCCTTGACTAGAGCCCGTGCACAGCTGAGTACCAAGCCAAATGGGTAAACCGGTAGAATGAGCGGAGTTGGATAGCATCTGTGATAGCAAAGGGGCCCCTGCTTGGATCAATCCT